TTTCACTGTATATGAACATTTCCCAAATTAGGAAATTCCCGATGCTGATTGGACTATGAGGAACAAAGAAGCCTTGGACACTGCTGGCAAAAGTATAGATTGTGGGATTAAGAATTTAAATATGTACATACTCTGCACCAGCAAACGTGCTCCTGGATGTGCATGGAGGTTTCTCAAACCCATCTGTAGGACACTTTATAAGAGAATGTTCTCTGCTGCATTTCAAATAGTGAAGAAATTGGACAAACCTTCTCACCTATGTCTGAGGAGAAGGTAGGTAAGAAGAAAATGAGACAAAAAAGCAGAGGCTCAGTAGAAGTTTGAAATACATGTAGCAATGTCAGTGAATTTGTATAAATGATATTGAGTGAATAAACCAAAAGCCAAGATAAACTCCAGCCCTGCTTCCCTATGTGGAGAGGCACATAAAACATACAGGTACCATACATAAAACTTGGCTCTAGGATCCAGTAATGACAAGCAGGAACACAACAGCAGAGGAAGCACACCTGCACTAGGGACCTGGGCATCAACACTAGGACATCTGGGGCCGATAGCGCCTCTGGGGGGTCTGCCTGTGCATCCTATGATGTTCAGTAGTATCCTTGTCCTCCACTCAACAGGAGCCTGTAAAACACGCTCTCTCTCCATATCGGAAAAGAGAAACATCCTGACACATCTACATGCTCCCCGATGACCACAGTTACTATTATGGGAGTTGAAAATTCTTCACCTGGCAGCTGCAGTGGGCACCTGGGCTGGTTAAAGACAAGGCACCCAGAGTGAGCAAACCAGTATGGCAGGCAGCCTCCCCAGCTGGAGGGTTCTCCTTTCTCTCCAGCACTGCACACAGTCCTAGGGCAAGTGACTTTACCCACATCTCTCCTATTCTGTCCTGTACTCTTTCTCTCCTGCTCCCCTTTTCCCTGGGACCCCTCTTCCTTGAAGTAACTTGAATGAGAATGCAGAAAAAGATCCCTCACTTGACGTTCTCTTGTCAAACTCATAGGCAAGCATAGGAGCCAGATCAAGGATGCCTTGAACTGAAGCTCTGTGCCTTATCTCTGGTATGTCCTTGCGTGCAGGCCATTCCTGCAGGCTTTTCCAGGAAGCAGACCTGCAAAGGCTGGCCTCAGAGTCTGGGAGAGCCAGGGGGGACTTGGATGAGCCTCAGGGGCCTGCAACTCTCACTCTAGCCACCAGCACAGCACAAAAGCGCCCTGCTTCCTATATCTCCCCAGAGAGAGCACAGCGGAGTGACCCAGGGGAGAAAGCTCTGTCTTGGGGCAGAAAGGAGTGGATCCAGATACCTTCAGACCCCTGAGGACAAAACAGGGTTACAAGGAGGACAAGAGCGGAGGGAGCCCTGAGTGGAAAGGCAGGCAAGACTCTTCTTTGAAGTGAGTGGAGCTGGAAGACAGCCCAGACTCCGGCGATGTCGAGGTGGGGATTGGAGGGCAGTTTCTCCTGGGCATTTTGTGCCCTTTTTGCCTTCTGATCGAACTGGACAGCCCTGCCTCTCTCCTTGGTCAGCGTCTATTTCCTTGGACAGTTGATACCAGACAGTCTGACATGAGCAGTGTGCCTCTGTATAATGTACTAAAAACTAAATACCCCTTATCTGAGTGAGGTAGGAAGGGGAAGGGGAATAAAAGAAATCAAAATATGTCAAGTACATGTGCCTACTCCCTCAGGCGAGTGTAAAGCTTCAGGTACTGCAGACACGTTCTGTTACAGCAGAGTGCGACCGCTCAGCGTTACAGCCAAGTGTTACGGCTATCTGAAGGTCTCTGCTGGTGAAGAAGTCAAATGGCACTTAGCACTCAGAGTGATGGAGGGATTCTTTATTATGCTGCAGCCTCAGAGGAGTTGGTACCACGAAGTCTGAGCCCCAAATAGAAATGGAAGCAACCTTATATAGAGATCTATGGGGTAGGGCGTGAGCATGCTCATTGAGGCAGATGGGTGCAGTTAACAGCATTCTTGAAACCTTGGGTACAAACATGGAGCAGCACAAACAGGAACATCCTGCAGTACATTGCAGTTACATTGCTTGAACAGAAGGTCATGTGGCAACAACTTGAGGTGCAGGGCTTGGCAACAGAGAGCAGTGCAGGACTTCACAGTTAGTGGCCCAGCAGCAAGAGGAAAACACAGAAGTTGATGGAGATACGCCAGCCAGTTCAATTCAAATTATTTCCCTGATCCAGATTTAATATTTTGGTACCAGGGATCAAACTCAGGACCTTGTGCTTGTGAGGCAGGCGCTGGAACCACTGAGCTAAATCCTCGGCCCCAGATTTAACATTGACGGTGTTCCTCAAGGTGCATCAATTTTCCTACAAATGACTCAAGTTTATCCTTTCTGGCACAGTAGTACTTGGTTGTGTACAAGTGCTACATTTTCTTTAACCATTCATCTGTTGATGAACATTTAGATCACTTCCAAGATTTAGCTGTTATGAATCATGCCATTATATACATGGGTATGAATAGATCACTAATACGTTGTCCTTAAATCTTTCAGGAAGATACCAAAAAGGGAACTAGCTGGGTTGAATGGTGTCTGAGTTATTTTTTTCTTGTGGTTGAGATAAAATACCTGACACCCAAAGTTAAAGGAGGAAAGGTTTATTTAGCTCACAGTTTGCAGAGGTTTCAGTCCATAGTTGGCTGGCTCCAAGACAGGGTGGCATTGCAGAGGGGCATCGCAGCGGAGAAACAGTTCACTGTAAGCAGAAGACAGCAAAAGCAACAGGGAGGGACCGCAACAGTGTCTTTTTGCCTCTTTTATCTTATCTAGGCTACTTAGGATGCACAGTACTCACACTCTTAATCCTTGTGCCCTTGACCCTAGCATTGCACCAAGAATCAATCCCAGTATCACACACTCTAGATCCAGCCACCTCTGAAAAAGCCCCACCTATGACCACATGAGGCTTTGGGGGACATCTAGACACAGCCCTAACATTGTGCCCCTGGCCCCCCAAAGACTTATGCATATCTCTTTATGCAAAAAAGAATTTAGTCTATTTGTTGTCAAAAGTCTTAACAGATTTAGCATTGCTGAAAACTATGTCTAAAGTCTCCTCTGAGATTTAAGTCAAATTCTTCACTGCAAGCCCTTGTACAAATGAAAAGAAAGTTAAACACTTTTAACATTTAATGGCACTAGGTAGACATTTTTATTTTAAAAGTTATAGATAGGGGGATATAAAAAAATGGAACTAAAGCAACTCTAAAATCCAGCAGGGCAAACATTAAATCTCACAGTTTTACTTTTAGCATCCCCAGTAATCTTCGGCAAGTTGTGAACTCTAATAGGCTTGAGTGGCTCCGCCCCTGTGGCACTGCCAGCGCTTGTGGCTCCCATGGCTTCTCTCTGGGCCTGGCTCTGCTCCCTCCTTGCAGTTTTCCTGAGATGATCCAAATTCCTAGTTTTTGTACACTTCTGGGATCTCCACTGCACCTTTGACTTCACATTCACAGCTTCACACACTGCTGTCTCAGGGGCACCCTGCCTGACCTCCCAGGCCTTTTTCTGAAATCTAGAAATCTAGGAGGAAGCCTTCCTGAGCCCAGAACTCTTGCATTCTGCATGTGTCTAAAACCAGTGCCCCACGGATGATGCCAAGGTCTGTCTCCTGCTGGAGCAGTAGCCAGGCGTCCCTCTCTCTGGGCTGTAGGGGTACAGTGTCTATGAACCAAATCTTCAGAAACAACTCTTTTAGGCTGATGCCCATTTGGAACATGGTGCTCTGGAGCTCTTTTTTTTTAATGTGAAATATTTTATTTTTGAAATTTTGAGGCTACAAAGGGTGGGGTCTTACTGTTTCTTTGATGCTGTTTCTTTCTCAGCAATGAGAAAAGTCACTCGGACACTATTGGTTATTAAACTGGGAGACATGAGGTTCTCTCCTCCTGGGGAACCCATTGCCCTTTGTCGGCTCTGGGATTTCTGGAAGGGAATGGGTCTGTGCCCAGGAGGGTCAGGAGGCCGGGTCTCCCTCTGGCCACTTCCTGGTTGGAGCTCCCTGCTCTCTCTCAGGGCGGTCTCTCCCCTCCTTGGGCTGTAAGAGAAATATTCCCGGGGAAGGGTATTGGCCCACCTCCGGCATGAGAGGGAGGGAGGAGTTTAGGCCCTTTGCCTCCAAACAGTCAGGGGAGTCCTCGCTGTTAAAGCTGGAAAGTGACTGTTCAGAACTCAGACGTTTGGAGGCTTAAAATGGAGCGTGTTTTGAGCATTTAGTGCCAAAATGTATGTATTTTAGTAATTTTATATTGGCTACATGTAATGATAATACTATGGATACGTTGCATCATTGCAATCCCATGTGTTTAACTTTTAAAATGTTAATTCTAGGAAATTTAAAATCACGCGTGTTCCACTCGTTTTCTTTGTAGCCGACATTGCTGTCTGAGGGAAAGATTCCCATCTGAAACCCTAAGCTGCGCTCCCAGAAGACCAGAGAGTGGAAAAGCTAAGTATAGGGGTTGAATGCACCGAGCTACATCCCCAAATCTTTTTATGTATTATTTTGAGACAGGGTCTCCTTCTGTCACCCAGGCTGGGCTTGAACTTGTGTCCTTCCCGCCTCAGCGTTCTAGAGTGCTGGGATTGCAGGCGCGCGCCAGCCCACCTGGTTTAAGTGGGATTTTACAACCGTCATTACTTTCTTCCCATTTGTAAATAAAACACGCGTAGTTCTAGATCGGTATGCCTTTATATACGAGGATAAATGCAAATGGAAATGTGTTCTTGGTGGGCTCTGTCCCTCCACGTGGACAAGTCCTGTCTTAAAACAGCTGCAGCTAAAACCTGGGTTCAACCGGCAGCATTGCAATAAAAACCAACCCCTAAAACTAAAAAAAAACAAAACTGCGTTCAGGAAGCGGCCCTAGCCCTCATTCAGCGGTGGGTTGGCTCCCTCTATCACTCAGACCGTGGGGGCGGGCCCAAATCGGCCGCAGCCGGAGCACCGTCCAATCAGGCACGCAGCCGAAGCGCAGGGGTGGGCTTTCGCGGTGGGCCCTTCCGCGTCCTGGCTGTGAGTGGCCGCTGCTTCTCCCGAATGGCCCCGGTCCCTGTCCCCTGCGTGAGCCGGCGCCCCCCGGAGGACGCACACGCCGACGCCGACGCCGACGCCGACGCCGGAATGGTGAGCTGCGCCGGCGGCCGCGGGCTGAGGGCCTCTGTGCGCCGGGCCGTGCGGGGCGGGCTTCCCCGCGGTTTGCCGCCGTGCGGTCGGAGCTGGGCGCGGCCGGCGGAGCTCGCGGCCCTGAGGTGTTCACTTGGGATCGGACCGCACTGAGCGAACCGGAGCCAGGGCAGGAAGCGTGGTACACACGGAGAGTCCAGGCGCCCTCCGGGGCAGGCTAGAGGAAGGTGAAGCCGTGCGAAGCTCGATCCTGCAGCAGGAGACGGCCACTCGCTGACCGGAAGCGGCACGGAGAATGGGTGCACAGAGTAACGCGGGCGACGCGAATTCAGCCGTGCCAGTAATAGCCCCGAATGTGGCTTGACTGAATAGTCTTGTCAGCTGCTGGACATTTTTCCACCGAGAAGCTTTCGCCCACCTCCCCCGGAGTCGCCCTGTAGCCGCAGGCGCTGCGGCTGGGGCGGACACTGCCAGGCAGGCAGCTCCATCCGGTCACACCCTTGCTCTACTAGCGGGTCCCTTGCAGAATTAGCCCGTTTCCTTCCAGCCTTAATTCCCACTGCATCAGCCAGCTGGATGCTGCTGTGGAGGAGAAGCGCAGGAATGATGCCCCCAGTGCGTCTGTGGGGACTCTCCCAGCCTGCGGCTGGGGAAGCCAGGTGACAGGTGGCTGGCGTCACCTTGGGCGGTCAGTGGGCACTGCCCAGCCTGGGTCTGTCAGGTTGGAAAGAATTGTCCACTTAGTTCAGTTTCAGCGTTTCATGGTTGTAAAATGTATTTTTTCAGCGCAGGTGGAAAGGTAAGAAATACTCCCACAGAGGCATGATAGGGATGGATTTCAGGGAGGAAGAAGATCTCGTATTCCATTGAAGAAAAGTTTAGTTTGCCCTTTTTTCTCCCCCAGGGTTAGCCTACTGTGGTAGTATTCTCAGGCGTGTTCAGCTGGGGTGGGAGCTTCAAGAGAAGTGCCAAGGTTTAGCTTTAGTGATAGTTGCCGTGCAAAGAGAGAACATCTCCCTTCCAGTTACAGGTGTGGAAACATGAGTACATTTTCCCAAGAATGTACGGTAGATTGATTGGTGAATTTCAGAGATTCAGCAAAACATGAATTCCTCATTTTTGGAAGATGTGTGACAGCTAGTCCAAATCCTGTCATCTGGACATTGGAGATTGTTAAATCCTGTGGAACAGGACTGGACAATTCCTCGAAGGGGTCATGTGTGGCTTATTGTTTACCTAATCATTTATTATCATGGAAATAATTGGTGAAATTGTGTGTATATTATCTGAAAGGGTAGATATTTTTGCTTTTCCTGTTGAGGTATGAAATGTACCTTACAACGTTGTTCTGTCCTGTAGACATAAAAAATGAGCTTCAGGGCCGGGGATTTAGCTCAGTGGTTTCGTTCCCTGCTGCGCAAGCGCAAGGACCCGAGTACGATCCCTGGTACCAAAAAAAAAAAAAAAAGAGCTTCGGTATCTTGACTGGACTCCAAGCACTGGAAACTTTTTTAGAAAAACTGTGAATTAAAATGAGAGGTAGGGTGGCCCCGTGACTGCAAGTTTATGCCAGTCCTGTGCCTTCACAAGGAGGCCCTTGAAGCCCTGTGTGTTCAGACGCCTTCCAAGACAGCTTTTCAGTGCAGGTTTGAATTGCAGGTACAACCTAACCTTGAAGAAGAAGCTGGGAGAAGAAAGAGGAAGAAGAAATGGCATTTTCTCAGGTCAATGTGTTGCAGGTCAGAGTCTGTGTCAAATTTTCCACCCAGAAGCACCATTTATTTATTTACTGTTTATTGTACCTTTTATTTAGAATGGACAAGCTGTTACTACTCCAACTTTCATGTTCTTGCCTAGCATGATTTTTCCAACTACTTTATTTCCATTTGTTCTTAGGATATCCAGATAGCTTTTAAAAATGTTTCTCCTATCTATGTAGAGCCTTCCCTCCATTTTTTCATTTCAGGCTTTTGCTGTACCATGAACAATTCTTGTGATGAATAAGTAACCTTTATTATTGAAAATGTTTTCTTTCTGACAGGCGAGCAGGGGAAGGTGTTAGTGTTCTAGACTTCCGTTGAGGGAACAATCTTTGAATATTGCAGAAGAATGGAAACATGCAGTGTTTTCATTCCATCTGGCTTCTTCAACAGCTCTATGTACACAAGAATGAATAAAACTCGACATTTAAAGAGAATTGCATTCATTGCCCATAATAACATAGAAAGTTCTGCAAAAGGAAAGTAATTAGAAGACAGTCATTGTCTATGTTTCCTAAAGGCTGCTTAAATAGCCTCTAAGAGTTTAGAGACCATAGGAGACATGCGCAGCTTGAATTTTAATGGCTTTTTTTTTTAGCGGTCAAGGCTGTAGTTCACTTTTGTTTTGTTTTTAGCCACAACAGCAATATGTCCTTCTCTGTCTGTGCATTGACACGTGATATCAGTTTGTTCTATTACAGCTGATTTAACTTTGATTAAAGTTAATCACTTGATTAAAGTGATGTCTGCCAGATTTTCCACTATAAAATTGTTTTTCTCTATCAGTAAGCCTATTGGCAGAATATCATGAGCAACCTGGGTGAACCATCATATTTAATATGGAAATCCTTCTTTTTAACTTGTCTTTGCTTGTAGCTTGTTTTCAAGAATGAAGGTTTTTACTTTGGTTTACTGGAGACACTGGCTTCATTACTGGATGTTCAAGAACAGACCTTAGTTCTTTAGGTTGTAATTGTATGCCACCCGCTTGTCACAGATGCCCACTTTTTCTTGTATTTGAAACATACACATTTCAGAGTGTCTTAAATTGTTAAATAATGACTCAGAACAAATGATAAATGAAAAGAAAAGACAAAGTAAAACATCAGTCTCAGAATGGAGCTTTCATTTTAGCTTCTGTCCTTAAATTGAGTGTCCAGATATGTCATAAAAAAGCATCATATCCACATAAACTTACAGGTCTTAGATGATTGAACAGATTTCTTAGTTTCATTGACACGAAATGTACTGTTTCATTTTGTGGTTTTTAACGTGTGTACATAAAATAATATTTAATCAATTTTGTATCACTACTTAACATGTCTTCCATTACTTTTCTCAGTTATGAAAACTACTATAAACATTCTTATTAATAATTTATTATTTTAGACTATATGTTCCTTTTATATAAGTTTTGGGTCAGATAAATTTGTGAGTAATTGGCTCTGTCATTACAGGATATTTAAAAAATATTGGCATGAAAGAGAAAAAAATATTATTGCTCTCATACGTTGGCTTGTGTCCATGCATTATTATGAAAAGTAAGAATTTCATTTAATATATCTTATATATATCCCAAAAGTATAGTTATATTTGCAGTTTTATCATGGCCAGGTACGTTTCTTAAAGTTCAGCCAGATCATCTGAATTCTTCCATGGCTATTCAAGAGTGTCCCCATGGACCATTGATAGTGGCCCCACTTACGAGCTTGGTATGGAGTCGTCAGAAACACAAGCCCCACCCAGAACCACTGAAGCTGAACCTGCATTTTAATTAGCAATAATCGCGCCTCGGATAAACCTCATTGGCTACGATACTGCCACTGCGCAAAGCTGAACCTGCATTTTAATAATATCTCCAAGTCATAGTTGTAACAAAAAGTTTGAGAAGTATCTCTCAAACTCAGCATGAATTTTCCATCTGAGAAATATGCACAACTTACCTTGTGTAACATAAATACCACACTAAAAAATATATAATCCTGCATTGAAGGCTTAACTTTCTACTTTATATTTTCACAGGAGTGTAGTGTCTGCACTGGTTTTATGGCTCATATGCCATACTCTTTCTCAGATTGAGATAACATATTAGAGAACATTGTTGTGTTTAAAAAGTATCTTAATTGAATAATTAAAGTCATAGACCTATGTCAGAACCAGTTCTAACCCTTGTTTCATATTGGGTCAAATAAAGAACTGTCAGTCACCCCACAGTCAATGTGGTATTTATTTCTGTTTTTCAGGAACTGTTGACATTTAGAGATGTGGTCATCGATTTCTCTCTGGAAGAGTGGGCATGTCTGGACCCTGTTCAGCGAACTCTGTATAGGGATGTGATGTTAGAGAACTACAGGAACGTTTTCTCCCTGGGTGAGGATAAATTCCCTGTGGAATTCCTAACTCACTATCAACATTTATTTATTTTATTTTATTTTATTTTATTTTTTTTGTTGTTAAATTCTTTTATTGGTACATTTTAGGTATACAACACAATTACATTTCTCATTGGGAATTGTAC